TCTGTCAAAATCTGAGCCGGTGGGTGCGCAGAGCCACTAGCACCAGCCGTCGCCGCAGCCGTTGAGCTGGAGGTCATAGCCGTGGCAGTCGTTGAATCGAGCGCCGGTTGTGTACTGGCCATGAAGATCGCCACCCTGTTCGGCGGCTCATAGGGGTCCGAGATACTGTCACCATCGGAACAACCCCCAAGCCGGCCGTCCTGCAGTTGATACATTGAATTGGTCTCCCCGGTTGATGATTCAGCATCCAAGTAGATGGTCGGCTCACCATCATACGCAGATCCTTCCTCAAAGTCTGCCCCATGGATGAAACCAACAAAGGCACGCTTTACAGCAGTTTGAACTTTGGCGGGTCGTGCACACTGAGCCGTCTCGATGATGTCGGTGCAGATGTCCAGCTCAGGGCCCAATTTTCCGATCTTGCCGATGAAGATGTGGATTCCGCCGAAGGGGACCCGGTACCCATATTCAATTGAGCCGGCCTCGGGGCCCCAGCCAGGGTCGTCGATGTAGAGCTTGCCGCGATGACTCTTGGTCATCCGGCCCATGATGTATCCCTTGATCCCTGCAAAGTTGCCCTTCAAGAACTCGAAACCACCATGCGCTGGCCTCACGGTGGGCGCCAACTGTCGTGGACTTGACACGACAGATGCCCTAGCGAGAGGACTTAGTCGTGGAACCATCACAATTAGGTTAGATTGAAGGGGTTAAGCGGGACAAAGGACACATAGAGCTTACCCAGGTTCGGCCCCTCTCAACGAGGTAAAAGCCCACTCCTGCTTTGTATTGTATTGCTAGGGTTTCGATTACCAGGGAGCGAATACGCATGACATAGCTCTCGATTGTTTGTTATCTGTCCTCAATCCGCCGCTGGGTCACCCCTTTATATACATAGGTTGATGCCCGACAGCTTACAGAGTCCCGATCGGCTCATACACAACGTGTCCGACTCGGTGACTAACTAAGATTGCCTTACAATACAAGTTATATATGTGGCGATTCACCCCCTTAGGCCTCAAGTCGCCTCTGGGTCTTGGGCCGTCAATAGGCTTGCTATGACCCGCCATCTTAATTGATAAGTCACCAGTGGTATGACCCGGCTCCTCCTGGGCGATTCATACCCAGTAGTTATATCCCCAACAGGTGCCTTGCCGGTGGGGAGCCGCTTCACGACGACGTCCCCGACGGCGAGGACCGGAGAGAGGACTGCTGTGTCGGTGCTGGCGCCGCAGAGACTTGGAATAGCTGTAGAGCAAGGGTGGTGGCGGAACTGCGAGACGTCCAACACGGAGAAGGAAGAAGAAAGGACATAGGAAATGGATCCGGTAGGTCGAGCGGGTGAATTTTGTGTAATTTGTGATGGGATAGGGCTGTCGGGTCAAATGTGGCGGACGCGTCCGGATTACCCGGGCGCTCCATATCCACAGATTTGGGCTGGATATGAAGGGTGCCAGTCAGCCAAAATGTTTAAGGTTCATTAAAGAGTATATCTGAGTATTTTTTTTGTGACCAGTCACCGACCGGACAATTCGTTCGGGCGTTTGAAACGAATTTGAGGTGTCGGCTGTAGACGTTCTAACGGCCTTAATGCATTCCACGTCGCTGAGGCCAGCAAAGGAGGAGGGGAGAGGACTATCGACTGAGGGCATCTCCAACAGCTGTAAGATAGGTGTTGGTAAATTTGCCACCTAGGACATAGTGATGATGTGGCATGTAATAAATATGAAAAGAGAGCAAAGTTGTATGTAGAATAACCAACAACCTTTGCACAAGCTCCAAGGTGAAATAGAGAGCAATCACATTTATTTTCTCATCATCTATTGGATACCTTAGATACAACCCATTGAAATAGTTGTATGATAGCTTGTTGATTGATGACATGGACATTTTACCAACAAGACTAACTTACAATCTATTGAAGATGCCCTGAGGAAAGATAACAGCACGGTGCGTCCAGAAAATTCTAAAGCCTAGTAACCCTGCACCTACGAAAGATCTTGTTTGACGTGTCACATTCATGAATAGATTTTTGAAACTACTAGGTGAGCCCAACTCTCATAACCTACTCCTTGTCCAGTGTCCGCAGGGAACATCTAGACGTCCTCGTTTCCTCCTGAATTAATTAGCACGGCTACTAATTAAACCGGAGGCGATCGATGCCACGGCAAGCGCATCTAGATCAAAACCATCACAAAAAATATCTATAGATCTCTCGTCGTAAAGCAGAGAGTGACAGGGTGGATGGCCTGTGCCTCGCTGCAGCAATCACACGGCACCATTTGGAATAAAGTAGAATGCTTTACACCAGGGAATTATGAAACCAAGAATGTGTCACCGTCTTGGTGAGCGTCGCCGACGTGCGGTTTCGGGCCCATTTTTTTCCCTGCGATTATTGTGAGGTACTCTTTCAAATTGTCTAGAGATCGACGGGGCCACTCGATCTTTGGGGCAACCTGGTCCGTAGCCGTCCGTTTCAAGAACTGTCGTACCCATCTCCTCCAGAATAATATCTAATTTCTGCTCTTGTATGTTTGTATGCTTGTATGGACACAAGATGCCATAGGATGGATCAATTATAGTAGTTTGATTGATACGTGTTCCTCACAAAAATTGTGTTAAATAACCTCTCCTATATTACTTCAAAAATACGCTGAGATTTTGTCTTTCACCGAGTCCCCCCTCCCAATCCCACCCCCACATTATGCTCTCCTCACTCACACCGGCTCTATATTTCGTTTTAGAGGCCAGTTTCTTTTCTCAAACCGTCTTCGATGATACGTTTTGAATAAAAGCCCAAATATATTTGGCAAGCCGTTCAATACACATCAATCAACGTATATAGTCCATTTTTCAGGTACGAATCATGGTAATTTACCTGCCTATTTTAACTGTAGCTAGTACAAATCTTGGTCACTAAATGCGAATCAACAACTTCTGTTTTGGTAACAATTTTTATTGCTTGTAGCAGCACACCTGCATATCTAGTCAAGGTAGAATTATGAAGACTTTGAAGTAAAAAGGCGGAACTAGATCTAGAACCACTATGAAGAGAACCAACCAGAGTTTGAGGTGGCTAATTCCTAGTCCACTCGTGATCAAACTCCAAAGTTGACACTCAGTGTGTTTTATTAAGACGAATTATATTCATTTGACAAGGGACATGGCATTCTTGTTGATACGGAAATGCATGTGTTAATTTCCTCGAGTTTGAAACCCCTAGCATTTGTTCTTCATTAGATTACATTCGGAAAACATATAGCCATGCCAGTGTTGCTTTGTCATCGAAGTGCACTTGGACGTGCTTCATGCCATTGCACTAAAAATGTCTCGAATTTTGATTTAGCTTCACTGCCAAAGTTGATTCCAAGTAGCTGTTTGTTTGAGCTCCTGATTTTTCCTACAAGAGACTGTTGGCTAAAGATGAAATAGACAAGGCATAAGTAATATGAACTGAAATTTTATTTCAAGCCCAGGTTTCATGACACATACATAATCCTTTGGCGCCATTCGAATTCATATGCCTCCCTGGTACATATGCCCACATATTGTTGTCATACAATCTCGTAGTGTGGCCAACAGAATACATATCGAAACATCTGATGTAGAATATGCGAGTCTATCGTGGGCCAATCGATCGTGATGCCTTCTCCCACGAAAACCAACTAGCCTGGCTGTATGCGTCCGCGCGCACACAACGGCATGACACGGTTGGCGTCCTCCCTTGATGATGGTGGTGGATGTCACGTCTATTTGTCTGTCGCCGCAAACCTCTCCCGTCCCTCATCCACCACTCCCATCGTGATCAAAATCACCCCACCTCCCCGAAGTAGATCTAGCCGTAAAATGTAGAAGTAACTGTAAATGAAAGACGCGAGAAGCGAGGCAATCGAATCCAATCAATGTCTACCTTTTATGCTATCGGTCGAGTCCGCTACACCAAAACAAATTCGGGTCTATTCATAAGACATGCTGAAAACTTTGCCAAAACTTTGCTCATAAACCTCCTCTCAAGCTTGGAACCCAGGTAAAAACTTTCTTTAAAAAAAATGGAGGTAAAAACCTCAGGGGAACCTCCTTATTCACCTTGGATCCTACAGATTCTTCTACAAAAGATATTCTACAACCAGTGGAACCCCCATCATGCAAGGCGAGACACGATTCAAAACACGGAACATGGGGAGTCTGAAATTCCGTATAGTACTCTGCTGCAAGCTGGTACACCACACTACACCACACCCCCAGCAGGGCCATCAGTTTTGGAGCGAGCATGTGACAGCGCACCACGGATCCTCCCTAAACAAATGAATTAATAGCACAAGTACAAAGTGGCTGGTTGTCGCACACGAGACGAGCGGGAGAGAGAGGGTTGGATCCGGGCTCGCCCGCCCCATTCAATAATTCCCATATGCGGCCCTGCCCCTCCGCCAGGCCCGCGGCTGGCCCACCCGTCAACGGGCGCTCCACGCGCGCGCCCACCCGCACCGCCGGCTGACGCGTGGGCCCGTCCGCACCGGGGCCCCACGAGGCAGCGTCGCGGCGGCCTTTCCCGCAGCGGCCCGCGGAGGAATATCGTAGAGAAATCGGAGGCTGCCTCGGAGGCCACCAGATGATAGTAGTCGACAGAGTCCCCACCCCACACTCACGCACACTCCTCCTCATCTCGCCCGGGGCGAAATCGACGCCACAGCGGGAGGGAAAAGGCTTCCGGGGTTGGCAGGGATTCCGCCTCTTATACGCCTGCCCGCCTCGCCAGATTCCTCACAGCTTCCCTGCCCCGAGCGGAGATCCTGAACTCCGGAGGCCGTCGTCGGGTAAGCGAAGCTCTGCCCCTGCTTGTTCCGTGTGTGCGTGGAGCAGAGGCGGCCGTGGCCGGCTGCTTCTGTCGATTCTGATTTGTTCTTGGGTGTTGTTGTTTGTTATATCTTACGAGCTTTGCCGTGCTGACGGGTGGTGCTGTTGTTGGTGGTGATTGTGCTGTGCAGGGGTAAGATTCGGCGGCCATGTCGGGCGCCGTGCTGGTCGCCATAGCGGCGTCCATCGGGAACCTGCTGCAGGGGTGGGATAATGCGACCATTGCAGGTAATTCGTTCGTTCGTGCCGCCGGAAAAGCAGCTGCTCTTTCGACGCCGTTGGGATACTCTTTATGCTGTTGCGCTTCCCAGGGGCCCGTGTTGTTAGGTAGAGGCAGCAATTATTGGGAATCTTGCCGGCTCCGATCACGACGGATTTGGTGGAGCTGCATGTAGTAGTAGTAGTGGTAGTAAAAACAAATATTCTTTCTTGTTCAACGATCTTTTAAAACCGATCAAGCAGCCGAAACGAAATCCTCGCAAGATTTCCGACTTCTCTGAACGGATCCGTCTCATGCGCGATCTGCGCATCTGAACCATGATAATTCAGTCTGCGTCGACATGTTCTGAATTCTGAACTGATGCTGATGCCTTGACTTCACGCTGACCATGTTGACTTGCTGCTGTGATCTCTGCAGGTGCCGTCCTGTACATAAAGAAGGAGTTCAGCTTGGAGACCCAGCCCTTGATCGAGGGCCTCATCGTGGCCATGTCGCTCATCGGGGCGACGGTTATCACCACGTTCTCCGGGGCGGTGGCTGATGCTGTTGGTAGGCGGCCCCTGCTGATCGCCTCGTCTGTCCTCTACTTTGTCAGTGGCCTGGTGATGCTCTGGGCGCCCAACGTCTATGTGTTGCTCTTGGCCAGGCTCGTCGACGGGTTCGGTATCGGTTTGGCTGTCACCCTTGTCCCTCTTTACATTTCGGAGACCGCCCCGACTGACATTAGAGGGCTGCTGAACACGCTGCCGCAGTTCAGTGGGTCAGGAGGGATGTTCCTTTCTTACTGCATGGTGTTCACCATGTCGCTCATGCCGCAGCCTGACTGGAGAATCATGCTTGGGGTTTTGTCGATCCCGTCGCTTATGTACTTTGCATTGACTGTCTTCTATTTGCCCGAGTCGCCGAGATGGCTTGTGAGCAAAGGAAGAATGGCCGAGGCCAAGCGAGTGTTGCAAGGACTGCGGGGAAGGGAAGATGTCTCAGGTTTGTCTGTCCTCTCTAAATACTTACTAGTCTGACAGGCATAAAATCTCCGATGATCTTACCCATGTGGGATTAACTGTGCAGGAGAAATGGCCCTTCTTGTTGAAGGATTGGGTGTTGGGAAAGACACACATTTTGAGGAATACATAATTGGGCCTGATGATGAGCTTGCTGATGACGGTCTGGCTCCAGATGAAGAGAAGTTGAAGCTGTACGGAGCTGAAGAAGGGGTATCTTGGATCGCCCGTCCTGTTAGGGGCGGTGGCCAAAGTGCACTTGGAAGCGCCTTGGGTCTCATGTCTCGTCATGGGAGTATGGTTAGTCAGGGTAAATCTCTCGTGGACCCACTTGTCACTCTCTTCGGAAGTGTCCATGAGAAGATGCCTGAGGTAATGGGGAGCATGCGCAGCACATTGTTTCCTAACTTTGGCAGCATGTTTAGCGTGGCGGAACAGCAGCAGGCTAAAGCTGACTGGGATGCTGAGAGTCATAGGGATGATGAAGATTATGCATCGGATCACGGTGCTGATGACATTGAGGATAGCCTCAATAGCCCGCTTATTTCTCGTCAAGCGACAAGCGTGGAGGGTAAGGAGATTGCTGCACCTCATGGAAGCATAATGGGTGGTGTGGGAAGAAGCAGCAGCATGCAGGGAGGGGAGGCAGTAAGCAGCATGGGCATTGGTGGGGGGTGGCAGTTAGCTTGGAAGTGGACTGAGAGAGAAGGTGCAGATGGGCAAAAGGAAGGTGGCTTCCAGCGTATTTACTTGCATGAGGAGGGCGTGTCTGGTGATCGGAGGGGCTCTATATTGTCTATGCCAGGAGGTGATATTCCTCCTGGTGGTGAGTATATCCAGGCAGCCGCTCTAGTGAGCCAACCTGCCCTTTATTCGAAGGACCTGATAGAGCAGCAGCTTGCTGGTCCTGCCATGGTACATCCATCTGAGGCAGTTGCCAAGGGTACAAAGTGGGCAGAACTATTTGAACCTGGAGTGAAGCATGCACTGTTCGTTGGCATAGGATTACAGATCCTGCAGCAGGTCAGCCGTTTTTGCCTTTCTGCTGCATATAAATATCAATGTATGCACTGCTAAGTGCTCTTGACAACTAATTTAGCACACACATTTCTTATAGATCTAGTATTTAACAGTCTTTTTTTTCTCTTCAAACTAAAACTTTATAATAATATAACATCATGCTGTTGCGTCCTGCCCATGGCTTCTTGTTGAAGTTCTTACCTTCAGCCTTATTGCGAGAAAAAAAAATGCTTTGCTGCCTATGGTAAGCAACACCGATATCAGGTTGCTGTAGTTTTCTGAAGTAAATAAACTTGATAAGCTGATAATGCTAATCTGGATAACATAATTTTGCTTATCAAACTGTGATATGCTACTAATATTCCTTTAGTCCTTCGCACAAGTAAGATCAATTTTGATCTTGTGGTAGAAAGTATAAAAAGAAAGGTGGTGCGGTAGAAACACATAATAACATTCTTATTGTTGTGTATGGTTGTAGCGTTCCTAGAATAACAATATTTCAAATTGTGACATACTTCAGTTTCCTCATCCCTATGTTTCCTTTTTTTCTTCTTCCACGGTTCATGTTTATTACCTAAATACATATATTGCATACCGAATGTTCATGTGCTGATGATCAACTTCCGTTTGTTCAGTTTGCGGGTATCAATGGAGTCCTCTACTACACACCTCAGATACTTGAGCAAGCAGGTGTCGGGGTTCTTCTATCAAACATTGGACTAAGCTCTTCCTCAGCATCTATTCTTATTAGTGCCTTGACAACCTTGCTGATGCTTCCCAGCATTGGCATCGCCATGAGACTCATGGATATGTCAGGAAGAAGGTTAGACTTCAGATTTTGCATGGTATTGTTTACTTGTGATACAATGTGGTATCACTGAATGTGAATGAAAGAGTAACCATTCTTCCATTTTGTTTCTCATCCAGGTTTCTTCTCCTTTCAACAATCCCTGTCTTGATAGTAGCGCTAGCTGTCTTGGTTTTAGTGAATGTTCTGGATGTCGGAACCATGGTGCACGCTGCGCTCTCAACGATCAGCGTCATCGTCTATTTCTGCTTCTTCGTCATGGGGTTTGGGCCTATCCCAAATATTCTCTGCGCGGAGATTTTCCCCACCTCTGTCCGTGGCATCTGCATAGCCATCTGCGCGCTAACCTTCTGGATCGGCGACATCATCGTGACATACACTCTCCCCGTGATGCTCAATGCCATTGGTCTCGCTGGAGTCTTCGGCATATATGCCATCGTTTGTGTACTAGCCTTTGTATTCGTCTACATGAAGGTCCCTGAGACAAAGGGCATGCCCCTGGAGGTCATCACCGAGTTCTTCTCTGTCGGGGCAAAGCAGGGCAAGGAAGCCACGGACTAGTTGCTCTGATCCGGTGATCCGCGTCGCTGGTGGTAATTTTGTGGTGTCATAACTACTACTACACTGGTTAACCTGCGATGCTTTGGTGAAGAAACTTCAAAGAGAGCAGATACGGAAGACTTTACATCGTGAGGCTGAATTGTGTCGTCGTAGGCCGGCTTTTGGAAGTAGGATATGTACTTAGATCATCTGCTCTTTTCGCTTTGGAACTTTATATTTGTGTTATTCAGAATTTCTTGCCCATGTAACTAGTGCTGTTATCACAATTTATGTCGATTATGTGTTTGCCTTGCTCGGTTGGTTCAGTTTATCCTCTTTGTTGCCAGTTTGCCACTAGTTCTCAGTTGCTAGTCACTTCAGCAGTTTAGTTGTGCTATTAGTACTTTTTTTTTGAAATGCTATTAGTACTATTTTTGAGGATAAGTAGTGTTTCTGGGTGTATGGGAAATATGCACACAACCATTTTATGTTACTCCTTGGTTTCATAATGTAGTGGATATAGATTTTTGTAAAAGTCAAACCTTATAAACTTTGGCTAAGTTTGTTGAGAAGAACATTTATATGTAGAAAGCTAAAAATATATCGTTAGATTCATCATAAGATATACTAGTTCATATTTTATATATTAAGTATTGTAGATATAAATAGTTTTTTCTGTAAACTTGGTCAAAGTTTGTAAAATTTGACTTTCTAAAATATCTGTACGCACTACATTAGCTCTTTAAATATGGGTGAACCTCTTCATTAATATTGAGAATATTGATACTCACTGCACCCCCAACCACTTGTTTAATCCAACCTCTGCACTTCACTAAAGAAAACCCATCTTAAGGAAAACCTCTAGTAGAAAATGCCAATTCACCCTTTTTTCAAAGTTTAGCTTTAGTGTGACCCCCTCTTGTTTAGTCCTTCTAAGCTCATGAAACACCTCATGGATAGTGACCATCCTATCTAAAATATATCCGCTTTTCATAAATGCCAAATGAAAGATGGCTACTGTAAAAACAAGCAACGAATTTTACGCTCATCCCGTGCTAAAACGCATACATTTTCTTACTCCTTGATACTTGTCTGATCAGTCACACTGTTCATTAGTTCAATTAATTTTTTGTTTGATGTCTTGAGCCGCACGAAGGGAGTATTATGCCTGACCTCATACCTACACCTACGCATATCATCTAAAACCGGATCATTGGTCCAGCACACACTTAGCACCCATCACATGTTCGCGCCCCTCAAGTCGCCGCCGCCATCTTTCATGAACCTATCTTCATGACAGGATCAATGCAACGACTTTGCCAGGCCCACCGTCAACATCACCGCGACGACAGACAATGCCAATGCTCTGCGCGCGCTAGTTAGCCGTGGCGTCGAGACCACGTTGCGACAAGCTGTCGAGACTTGCCATCTTCGACTAGAAAGAAAACCACGTCGCCCCACCTCAGAACCCCTCCAGTCAGCACTTGCTTCAAAATACGATGCTCCCAGGAGGGAGAACAGCACCGCACATCGCACAACGCCATCGTCCAATCCGAGAGACCTGGATCTAAGGTTTTTCTAGTGGAGTCCTAGCAGGAAGACAGAGTTGTAGCAACAATGTCTTTTACAAAGCAACGACGCAAATACGTCGCCCTCCTCAGCTATGATCCAAGTCGGCGTGGTTTTCACCTACAGCCGCGCCTCCACGAATCCGCAGACCACCATCATGCGGAGCCGCCGCCCTGGCCTCCGATCCGCAGACCCGAGGGCTGTGATTCTGCCGCATCTAGCGTTGTCGACGCCGGAGATGGCTCCTACGGACCCGGCTTTCTGCAACGAACCCGGCTTTCTTCGCCTCCTAAAAAAATACTTTCTTGACCTCGTCGCCAGCTGCAAACCCATTGAGGCCCTGGAGTTCCAGATCTTTGGAAGACAATATATTAGGCCATGGCTGGCCAGTTGTCACCTCTAAAGGATGAACGCAGAAGACAGAATAGGGCAAAGCCATGTGAGATTATACAGTATAATAATACTGTGCTTTAAGAGAAAAGAAACGCAAGTAGGAGTAGTTCACATAAAGTGTGATTTGGTCAGGTGACCACTGTCTCCAATGCAGGCGGAGATCGGAAGTACGACAGATGGTGGGGTAGAAATCCTACCAGCCGGCTGTCAGTGCGGAACGGAGCCTAAAAGCTGCTGCTTCTAGGGTCTCTCTTTCATGGTGGTTTTGGTGGCCCAGAGGGCGAAAAAGTTGATGTGATCCCTCCCATGGTCGACTGCGATTAGGTCTATACTTAATTCATTTCCGAGCTCGGTGGGGAGGGACGTGCCGGACCCCTCTCATTTGCATTAGCTTTCTTTTCAGGCAATGCAGGCTCTATGCAGGAGAGGAGATTGCGCAAGAACTCTTCAGAAACCTCGCATTTCTACGGCTCTAGTAGTAGTTGCATCACTGTTGATGTCGAGTTAGAATCTGAAGGAATGTGTCCCTTGATGCTTCGTTATGAGTTAATAAATTACACCCTTTACCGAAAAAGTTAGAATTTGAAGGAATGTGTTTCCCGCGCTGACTTGCTGGTGACAATTCTTGGCGTGACTGCGAACAGCCTTTCACGAAATTGACAACCTTTTTGTTGTTGTTGAGAGAAACCAAGTCGACGGAGCAGGTTTTTAGAACATACAGTATGATTAGTTGTGATGCGCCATTCCAAATTTCCAGTGATCGGAAGACAAAAACCTCGCGCTCACACGCACCTTTGGACGATCATTCCCGGTGACCTACCGCTAGCTGAAACGGACAACCCGCTAGCTCAAATTCACACGTCTCGTGGTCGGCAATCCGGTCGATCCCAGGATCAAGGTTCGCAGCAGAACCAATGGCGTCGTGTGCTCCGTTGCTGTCTTCGTTCAAATGCTCTCATCTACTACTATACACGAATGTGTGCTTTGTTCAAAGGGGTATACATGATACATCGATCTCACTGTTCCATCACTTTTTTCTTTGTGTGGGGACTGTTGCATCACTTTGTGCACATGTAACGACAGATGGCCCAAGTATGGAAAAGTCATTGCCGTCTCCCCGCCACCTGTCGGTGCTATTGTTGACTTCTATATGTTTCTCCATGTCCCCGTAATATTGTCGATTTCTACAGGTTTCTCTAGGTGCTCGATCCCGTGGTCGGTGGCCTTCCGTTGATGGTGTGCCGGTGTCCTCAGGATGGACGTTCGGCGGCCAAGTGTGGACGTTTGTTGTCTGCTTCGCGGGCAACGGTCCACGCCCCGGAAAGTTTCAGTTTGCTGATGGAGCCGGGGCGCAATGGCACCTACCTGTCGGTA